AAAGTCATGTGGTTCTTTGGAGTACAGCACAGTTATTCATAGATTACATTCTGATCCCAAACATAGTTACATATAAAGAAAGAAGGGGAAATGTTGGGACTGAATTCAAAAGCTTTCCAGCGTTGTCTTGTAGGGCTGTGAATTGCTGGAAGATGCCTCTGATGGTACCATTATACAGTGGTGCCTTGGTGCACTAAATTATTTTTTTCCAGGATGTTTCAAAAGATGGGCATGGTCATATTTGTCATGTAACACAGAGTTTAAAATAAAATTATTCCAAATGTTTTCTTATGAATCAAATTGTTCCCAACTTAAAGCATTTGTGATCTGAAGTATAATTGTGTTTTCACAAGAGTAGAGAGGTCACATGTTGATAGTAGATTTGAAGTGAATTCCATGACGTCCATTGCACTCCTCATCCTCACTGTCAGGAGTCAAGTTGAAGCTTCCTGCTCTAACATTTATGTTAAAAAATACTTTCTCTCTTGAATTTTTGTCTCCTTCATTCTCAATGCTAGAGTTACTATTCTAAAACTTCAATCTAATGACCGCAATTGAAATATTTAATGTAGTAGCACTGTTTCCCCTGTCATCCCGATCATTAAGTTTTAACATGCTTATTAGATATTTATAGATCTTGCTTGTTTCTGGTGCTATAGTCTCAAGTTTTAAAAATTATGTTTACACTAACTTACAGTCCACATTGGTGACTTGCACTCAGTCATATTTCAATAAATGATCATTGAATGAAAGATGAATTAATAACATTCTTATTGAACTGGAAAAGAAAAATGGAGTTCCTGCATTTGGCTGAATTTCCTTGCCCTAGGCACACTTTGCCCAAACTCAGGCCTGCTTATTCCATTGAAATCTATTTATTAAAAGATAGCTGCTTTTATATCCTTTTATCTCTGAGCCTTTTTAAAAATGTCATTTCTCAAAGCTTAGTTTGCTGTGAGCAGGAGTCACAGTCAGGTCCATGGCCAAGAGTGGGTTGGACACTGAGTGCAGAGAAATCTGTGCAATGTAAAAAATTCACAGGCACCAAGTTTCCAGAGAGGCCCTTCTCTAATAGAGGACCCAGGGTCTCTCCTCACATGAAACTTTGACACATTGTTTCCCTCACCCACCAATAGGTGGTCTTTTGCTGATTTTGAGTGACCCTCAAAGCTTCATTTTTCTTTTTGTTGTACAAAGTAATTAATTTATTTTTATAGCACTAATCTTCAGTAACTACAATTCTCATGGTCACAGCTTTATACACAGTTTATTTCAGTCAATATTTCATTTTTAAAAGGTTTTGGCTTTGATTTTTTTGTCCCCTTTCTCACTATACATCTGTTTAAAAGTAGTGCCACTGAGCTAAATCCCTGGCCTATTAACTTTTATTTTATTTTTCTGCATGTGATGCATTTCACACAGAGCTGTCAGATTTTGAAATGCTAATCCACTTTTTCTCTTTGTAGATAAATGTGAGTAATATTATTTCCATGTGTTCAAAATCACAATTGTTTTCTGCATGTCAAATCTGCTCTGAAGGAATGAACAGCAGATTATTGCTTCTACTACCTATAGCATTAATAGTTCAGTCATTTCTTCATTATATGATTCCTTTTAATATTTATGTTTAGTCTCTCAGTTATTGACACTGATAATAACTTTTTTTAAGTCCTTGTGTGTTCCTTCCATAATCCCTATTGAGACATATCTACCACTGGTAATTGATTGTTCTTATAGCGTGGGTAATACTTTCCTACCTTTTCAAAACACAAAGATAGAGCTATCTGGATGATACACATTAGGATTATTTTACTGTTAAAAAATCAGAATTTTAAACACTCTTTTAAACTGTTAAAGTTTGCTTTACTAAGCAGTTAAGCAGTTTACTTACTTGAAAATTGTCTCTTTTTTGAGATTTAGTGCTGGATTCCTCATGACTGGGGCTTAGTTACCTGTTTCCACATTCACATGAAATACTATTTCCCTATGCTGTCACCCTCACAGCCTCTTACTACATAAAAGAGTTTCTTCACTAGGATTTCCTAGAACCATGTAAACTGGTAGTTCTTAGGCTTTCAATGTCATGGTGGATTTTTTTCTATCACAAGGAGCTATTAGTGTGGCCTCATGAAGTCTCATTCTAATAAGCGCAGTTTGGGAATTATGCAAATCTGAGAACCTACAGTGACATTGGCAATACATCTGGAAAATAGGAAACCCAAGAGCCAGAAATTGGCCTACATACTTTCATTCATGTGCCTTTGTATGTTAGTATGTGTCTGTGTGTTGCTCTTAAATCTTCCTGTATTAATAGTGGCATTTGTCTTGCTCATCCACATAAAACATAGCTTGCACTTAGCTTATTTACATTCAATCAATTAGAACAGGTAATGTATAGTTCTGAATAATTATTTTCAGCTATCATTTTTGTAATGTTATATCAAATTCAAGAATAACCCATAGATGCTTGCTATTTTTTCAAGTACATGTGGTATTTGAGTTAATTGCACACTTTAGGGATATACATGAGTCAGGGGAAATTCCAATGTCCCTTAAGAAATAGAAAACTTCCTAAGGTTTCATTACCACTTCAAATGATATTAAAGCTGTAAGCTGTGATAGGGCTTATGAGAAATTAAATATATATAAATACATACATGTATACATGATTTTTGTTTGAATTTGTCCTCATAGAAAAAAAAGGATTAAGATTTTATTTATTTGATCATGGCATTTTTGTCTATCATTTGTTACTATCTACATTTAATTTACCTTTAATTACTTTGTTATCTTCAGTTACATACTGTGAAAATATGCACTCCATTTCAGCATTAATTGAAATTTGTTCTTAATAAAGACAAAAAACTTAAGAGAAGGTATATAGTTTCCAAGTTTGAACTTTCAGTAAGTTACAGTTGTTTAGGATGCTTTTTTTATATTTGTTTGAATTATTAGTTAGAAATACAAGTTTTGGGGGGATGGAGTCATTATTAGGAATATTAGAAGCCATTTGATCCAGTTATTCATTCTGTCATTCTGTCTCACTTTTCTTTGAGATTATGAGATTTAATTCGGACTCTGAAGAGAACAGGCTATGGTACAGTCTTTTACTGTGATGGAAACACGTCACTGATGAATACAAGAGAGTGGTCACGGTACACATATGCCTGTTCATTATTTACTTGGAATTGGTTAAAATGCTGAAAATTTATCTTTATTTATCAGTAGTTAATTTCAATTTGTTGTCAAATATACCCCTGTACGAATTAGCTATTTTATTGAAAGGTTTAGATGTGTTTCAAACATATGCTCAACTTAAATGTCAACTTTAAACATAATTTATTCAATCAACTTTTGTATTTTAGTAAAACTTTGTGACAGTACCTAAACCATGTAAAATAATAATAGAAAGTTTGTTATTATAGTAAATAGTGAACCACCAATTTTCACTTCCATTTAATTATCATTTGAAATAAAATAAAGCAGAGATTTAAAATTGGGAATGTACAATTGCTTGACTACTAAGACAATTTCTTCTTGATTTAAACATATTCTCATTAACATTTCAAGCAAGACGCTTGGGCAGCTTTTGTCTATGAATGCATTATCCACATATCTACTTTTGTACTTATTACCTAGTCATAATTTTCATACTTTATTCCTACACCAACACAGAATTTACATATATTATTTCTTATTTTCTTTTTTAAAAATACTGCAATGAAGGTGTAATTACATCAAGGAAAAGATAAATCAGTTTCTCAAGGTGGCAAGTTCATAAACAGCATCACCATGTTTTTAATCCCAATGTGTATCAATGCCAATAATTACTCTTTGTTACAGTTGACATGGATTAACTAAAGTGGCACTAAATCTGACGTAGGTGAGCTCTATTTTATTGCTGGAATTATTTCTTCATTTCTGAAAATGCATATTCTCAACAAAATACACTGTTTGGTAAATGGAGAGACAGAGATTGAGAGGAAGAAAGAGAATTGGAAAGATAGCTCTCTATTCAATATAATATATTGATTATCATAAAGTATAATATATTTGAATTAGAAACATAAGTGACTGAAATATGTAAACTTTAGAAAACTATAATAATGGACATTTAGCATTATACAAACAACATAAAAAGTGTTCTAGACAAATAGGTAACTGCAAGAAACCAAATTATAAATTTTAATCTTGCATATGTGTGTCCATGTTATGAAATATAAATATTTGTAAAACTGAAGCAATATTCTATATGTTCCATGTAAAACAGTACTTAATGAAAGTAAACTACTTTAATAAATATATTACTCATGTTTTTTCAAATATCAAATTATTATTTCTTCTAAAGCTGCATCGCTGAAGTCAAAGATATTTGTGCTCTGGGTCTCAGAGATAAGTGATTCCCAGAAGTCTTATTGTGCTCCTAGGAGGTCCCTGAAGACAGATGAGCTTCAATAGGCATGAAGGCATAGGATGACTTCATCTTTTTATGCCTTCATCTTTGGGATCAATACCATCTTTTCATAACCTTTTCTAATTCTCAGACTTTATCATAACACATTTTGGGATTAACTACATAGTAAATAGTACAACTTATTTTAGATTGCTTTATCATTAATCCCTTTTATATTCAAAAGAAACTTTAAACAGATTTTAAAGTTAATTTTGCAACTTCCCTTCAAAAATCGTAGGCATTCTTTGTGTGAATATTAATGTCCTATATTACAGATACTTTAGAAACACTAAAGAGTTTAGTGCCAATTTTTTATGTAAAGCTTTTATGACATTGCATCAATACTATCACTTTAAACAAGTAGAGCAAGAGAAGCAATAAAATCAAATTTCTAATATTTTAAACAAGGAGACTTAGGTTAATCAAAGTAATCTCTTTGATGTCAGAATGTCTCTATTGGTATTTATAGGTGATTTTAATAAATACCAAATTATTGTGTATCCACTTTAATCCTTTATTCTTCTAAACTCAGATTTCACAGACAGGAATGGCTAACAATTTTACTACTGTTACTGAGTTCATTCTTTGGGGGCTGACAGATGATGCAGAACTGAAAGTCATGCTGTTTGTGTTGTTCCTGGTGATTTATGTCACGACCTTAGTGGGAAATGTGGGCATGATTCTCCTAATCCACATCACCCCAAAACTCCACACACCCATGTACTTCTTCCTGAGCTGCCTCTCATTTTTAGATGCCTGCTATTCATCTATCATTGTGCCAAAATTGCTCATCAGCTTCTTGAAAGTGAGGGAAACTATCTCGTTCTCTGGCTGCATTGCACAGCATCTGTTTTTTGGGGTGTTCATTACCACAGAAGGCTTTCTTCTTTCGGTGATGGCTTATGACCGGTACATTGCCATTGCCAGCCCTCTCCTGTACAACATGATCATGTCTAAGAGGAAGTGTGCAGCGCTTGTGACTGGATCCTACATTGGTGAACTAACAAACTCACTGACACACACGGTCAGCTTGGGGAGACTGTCCTTCTGTGGGCCCAACGTCCTGGGCCCCTTCTTCTGTGATATTCCTCCACTGCTGAAACTGTCATGTTCTGATATCTCGATGGATGAGTTCTTTCTTTGATTTTTAACTGGAGTCACTGCAATTGCCACTTTCCAGGTTGTGATCATTTCACATGTATTCATTGCCTTTGCCATCCTGGGAATCCACTCAGCCTCAAGCAGGCGGAAAGCCTTCCCCACCTGTGCCTCTCACTTGAATGCCGTGACCCTATTCTATGGCACCTTAAGCTTTAGTTATATTCAGCCCAGCTCCCAGTATTCTGTGGAACAGGGAAAGGTGGTTTCTGTGTTCTACACATCAGTGATTCCCATGTTAAACCCACTGATTTACAGCCTCAGGAACAAAGAGGTAAAAGATGCTATGAAATGGGCCATAGACACAAAACATTTCTCACATTAATTGAAAGTGATTATTAATTCTGTAACATTCTGCCTGGCAATCTTCACCTAAAACTAACATTCAAGAGAATCCAGTGATGTTGGTTTCTTGTGTTTTCACCTATCACTGTGTTCTAAAGATTCACTATTCACAAGAGATAAGAATTTAGAAAGTTGAAGTAATTTGACACCTAAATTCATTGTAGCAAAATTAACTCAAACTCTCCTAAGACATTAATTCATCATTGTTGAAATCAACCAATCAGACTAAGAAATGCATGTATCTTTTACTCTCTGGACAACTGAGTAAATACACAACTGTATGCATGCTTTTGGAGATGTAATAAATTATTTCCATGAAGCTTTAAAATATGTTTTTCAGAACAATAAGCTAATCACATAACTGTTATTTGCTTTAATATTTAAAATGACATTAATTTTTATATATCAGTATATCGTGTTGCACAAATGGAAGTGTATGACCTCATTTATTCCACTGAAATATTCTACTTTGTAGTTATTAATTCATTTTTTTCCTTAAGAATTTTGTGTGTGAATAAACACTGAGTCATGGGTAATGCTCCTATAATTTCCAGTTTTAAGTAATGTACCCTTCCTAAGAGATTCACTTAAAAAATGTACATTTATGAAGTAAATACCATTTTGGAGCAGGCAAAATTCAGCTTCCTTCTCTTCCATTTCTTTTTCAAGAAAATCCTTCGTATTCTTTCAGAATTAAAAATAATCAGCAACCTGCACATAATTTAATAGATTTAATGTCTCTATAGAGGTTTATTATATAATCATGCATTACTTGATGGGATAATTTCACAAAGCCCTATTAATTTTTAGAAATGTTTATGCTTTTCTCAAAAGTAATATAAATAATGTTGCAACAAATTCTACAAGTTAAATTACATGATCGACTGGTCTATATATTTTGGTTTCTCTCTTAGCACCAGATAAGTTTGATATGATGAGGCATGCTTGTGATTCCAGCACTCTGAAGTCAGGCTAGGGAACTGCTGTAAATTACAGGTCAGCAAGGGCTAAAGAGCAAAATGCTGAATCAGAAAGAAAAAAAGAAAGAAAGAAAGAAAGAAAGAAAGAAAGAAAGAAAGAAAGAAAGAAAGAAAGAGAGAGAGAGAGGCAGACAGAAAGAAAAAAAGAGAGAAAGAAAGAGGCAGACAGAAAGATAGAAAGACAGATAAAGAAGGAAAGAAAGAAAGAGAGAAGGAGAGGGAGAGGAAGAGGAGAAGGAGATGGAGAAAGAAAGAAAGAAAGAAAGAAAGAAAGAAAGAAAGAAAGAAAGAAAGAAAGAAAGAAAAGAAAGAAAGAAAATAGTTGATAAACTAAGGTGTTTAAAACTAAAAGTATTTGAATACTTAAACAATATTATATTTACTAGACTATACTTAGTTATATAGTCATAGTCAAAGTTCAAGGGAGAATATCAGTGCTGTAAAGAGGAAAACATACTGTGTATTTTCCTATAAAGAAGAACAAGAAAGCACTTTTGCAAAAATAAACACATTGCATTTACATTTTGAGGTATATAGAACATCCAAGAATTATTTTTAGAGTAAGCATGATGTTCATTCAAATTTGACACAGTATACCCCAAATATAGTAGTCATCTTCAACCACTGTAATGATAATAGTTCATAGAAAAATATGTCCAAGGTGAGTAAAACTTTGATTTTGCTGAGAATATAGCTGAGCTTCTCAGTGCCTGCCTGGCAAGAACAAAGTAGTGAGTTCAATGCCTGCTATCAAAACCAACAAAAACAAAACTCATGCACTTTGGGAGAAGAGAACAAGACACCAAGAAGCAAGTCCTCCCTGATAATCAGTGCCATGTGCAGGCCACTGAGGGAGCAGTGAGACCCCATCCTTTCCCCATGAGCCAGCACCATTTATGGACTGCAGGACGACAGAACAAGAAGTCACCAAGAAACAAACCCTCTCTGAGAATCGGTGCCATGCATGGGCTGCTGAGTGGACAGCCAGACCCAGCTTTTCCCCGTGAGTCAGTGCAATTTGTTGCCTATGGGTGAAGACAACAAGAAGTCACCAAGAGGCAAGACCTCCCTTTGAATCAGAAACATTCATTGGCCTTTGAAGGGACAGCCAGAATCCAGCGCCTTCCAGTTCATGAGCTGGGAAACAAGAAAAACCAACACCCCCCTCCTCAAAAGCGACTGGCTTATCCAGAGACACAGGGTGTGAAAATAGCTACTGAGATGAAATGAAATTTGATTCTTGTGGTGTTTGGTGTTTTATTGTGTTCTGATGTCTTGGGCTGATGGTCTGATCATCTATTCAGAGGGTAATGGTATGTAGTGTGGAATCTATGGGGAATCTGCTTTTCAAGGTAATAGCCATTGCTAATTCTCTATTATCCTGTTTTGAAGTCCTAAATCATTTTCAATATTTTTGGGGTTGCATTTTATTCTGTTTTGTGTTGTTTGATTTTGATACATTTGATGGCATGGACAGCTATTTCAAATAAAGCAAGGTGTATTATGGTAGCCATGTTGGATTTACTATTGATTTGTTTTGAAGTCCTTTATTGCTTTATTGCCTTCATTGTTTTGTTTATATAGATTGTATTCTGTTCAGTTTTGTTTGATTTTTTGCTCTGTCTGCAGATATCTGCAGCTATTTTGAAGACAGCAAGAGGCATTATTGTAATCCTTGTTGATTTCCTATTGGTTAGAGGTCCTGTGTTACTTATACAGGTTTTTTTTTTTGAATGTCTTCATTTTTTCTTAGTTTTTTTTGGTTTTATTCTCTTTAAAGTAGAAAAAACCCTAAAGAAAACAAAACAACCTCTAATTTTTAATACTAGCATTATATATATGTGTGTGTGTGTGTGTGTGTGTGTCTGTGTGTGTAAAATCCTATACAGCATTAATAATAACAATTATAAATAATAGTTTATATTAATACTAGGAATACAAAAAGAAAATCAAAGAGCTTCCAGCTCAAGATTTTATATAATCTTGATTCTATTTCTTGTTTTGGCATAATAGTTTAAGTTTATCATCTACATAAAGAAAAATATTGTTAAAAGATATATAAAAGAAACAGTACCACACAATCTCATAAATATCATCTTGTGTATATCTGTGAATAGAAGTCCCTATTTTTATGTGTTTCATAAAAATGCTGATTTAGTGAAACAAGAGTGCATACATATGTACCTATTTTTAATAACCATGTACTATAACAGGTCAATTTTTGTACATGTACAGTAAATGTTCAGAGGGTTATATTTAACAATTCTTGCTTTGTAATTAATAGTTATTTTTCAACATGATTAAAAGTACAGGCCATATAGGATTAGAAAGTAAGAATTTAGCAAAATGAGCAAAATTTATTTAAGTAAAATTTATCTTATTCAAACAATTGTTAAAGAATAACTTAATTACTAAACTGAACCAAAAGGGAAACAAGTTGTCAAAAATGAGTTACAGTGGTACCAAAAGAATGAAGACATCAAAACAAGTTAATAGGAAATCAAAAAGAGTTACTATTATATATCCTAATTTTTTTTAATTTTCCCCCTTAATTAAAACAAACATAAGAAATAACTAAATAATTTTTAAAGAATAAAGGAGAGATTGAGATAAAACAGCACATAACAATGTGACTTATTACTGTTATGTTTTTTTTGTAGTTCTGTATTACATGTACCCTTACACCGCTTTGTTTTGTTTTGTGTTTTTCTCTTTTTCCTCTTAAATAAAATTAAAAAAAAGAATGAAGACATCGATAACTGTTAATTTCATTTCTTGACCTCTTCCTTTTGTTGATTTTTAAGACTTTAAAGTTATTCTTGACTCATGTTTTATGTTGGTTATAAGTGTTAAAAATTCAGGATGTGAACTGTTTCCTGACTGCGTATATTGCAAATATGTCCCTCTATGTCCTGGCTTATCTTGACTTTCAACTGTGTTGCTTACCTTAAGAACAAAATTTATTGTCTGCATAGTTAAGTTGTTATTTTTTCCATGTAGACAACCACATACACAACACAAATTACTGAAAATACCAGTGGTTCTCTGTCACAAGTTAACTGCTCACTGCCCAACTATATAACAGTACAGCTTGCAATTGTTAAATGTTGGAAACAACCCAAATGTCCATCAAATAAGGAATGGATAAAGATGTGGGGTTTTTTTTAACATGATGCAGCACTACTCTGCCATAAAGTAAGATAAATTTGAGGCCTTTATAAGTGAATGGAATTACCTTGAGAACATGATCTTAAGTGAAATAAATCAAACTCACATATGTAAACATCACATTGTTCCCCTTAGGGTGAGAACCTGAAAGATATTTAGTCATTCATTGCTGAGCATCTAGCTTCTATACCTTAGCTATCAGGAACTGCCACTATGAACATAGGTGTGCAAGAATCCTTGTACTATGCTGACTACGAATCTTCTGAGTTTATACCAGGAAATGGAAAACTTTGGTCACATGGTAGCTGTACAGTGTTTTATCCAGTGGAATAATATTCAGCCATAAAGAAGAACAATACATATACTTTTCATGAAAATGGGTGGAACTAGAGATTATCAAGTTAGGTAAAATAAGTCAGACTCAGAAAGATGATTATCATATGTTTTCTCTCATAGACTGAATCAAGGGATAAGAAGATGATATGAAAGTAGAAGGAAAACTATTGCAAAAGAAGAAGGGATTGGGGGAAAAGAAGATATTAGAGGATGATGGAGTAGAAAAAATGCAAGTATGATGAATATGCATACAAGAATATGCCTCAATGAAACCGTGTTCTGTATAATTAATACATTTAAAATTTTTAAAAATCAAAGCTAAAAAAGTTGTCTTCACAGACCAATGATTGTTTAAAATTGGATTTTTAAAGTTTATATAACATTTTATTGTTTGCAGCTTAACATTGTTCTACAGTGATATGAGGTATGATTGAATGATGTAGATATTTAAATTTTCAAAATATACTACAATAAAAAAATTCCTATTAGTCTTCTT